AACTATAAGTCAATTATACTGCTTTTCTTGAGTTTTGCCAACCGTCGGGCCAACCGAAACTGAAAGTCTTTTAAACTACGTTTTGATGAGTTGTGCCAACCTTTGTCGCCAAAGTTGGCCCGACGGTTGGTTAAACTCTGCATTTAATGGTTGGCTTGCAAAGTCGGGCCAACTGTGGGCACTAGTACTTGCCAACGTTGGGCAAACTCTGGCAACCAAAACTTCGCTTGCCAAAGTTAGGCCAACCTTGGGCCAACCTTCAAACTCTGGCGGCCAACCTAAATTCGCACCTGGGTGTTTATTTAAAATAGTAATAATTTGATTGACTGAAGGTAAACAAACCATTTTTAAATGTGATTTTTAAATTTAGAAATCTATAATATCTTCAAGCTTAAAACATAAAAGCACTTTGAGTTTTAATTTAAGTTAACATTTTAGGTCATCAATTCGGCAATTAAAAAAAATTATGTTTGAATAAAATATTCCATTTTGTTGTACAGTGAAGTGAAAGAATAAATTTAATAAATTTTTCGTTCGATGAAAGAATTTGTACATCTGAAGTAAATTTTTAGTTGAAGTAAACAAATGTTTGGCAAATGTGTCGCAATGCATTGTTTGGTTGATTCAAACAAATTTTTTCTGAGTGTAGAATTCTGTATGCACCAAAGTTTCGTAGATCATGTTCGAACTCTCTGTAACTTCCGAAGTTCTTAAAGTTTCAAGCTTCTAAACTCTGATATAAAATTTTGCCTTTGTCACATTTTGTCCTACACTTGTAAAAAATTTTTATAAAATTTGATAATAACTTTCTTTCCGTGTGATATTGCGCACAAGTATTTACTTTGTCTAGCGAGGCTGGCTCCATTTACACCATAAATTCAGTCTCAAAAATAGCTAAAATCACGACTTTTTGTAGAGTGTAGAATCGATCAATTCAAAATGCAATAAAGCGTTAATTCAGAAAATTGTGCTATATGGTGTCTATTCATTTGTTTGTGTAAATTTAATTTTTAATTCCAAATGACAGATCTTCAATATTTTTCATTTTTCGATAATATTTTGTAAAAAAAATTACAATGAATTGATAAAATTATATTGTTTGAATATAATCATTATATGGACTTTTAAAAATTAAATTAACCTTTTTCGAAATCAATGTGAATTAAGACTATGTTGGACAAACAATTGAATAGACACCATATAGCACAATTTTTGAATTAACGCTTTATTTCACTGGCGATCGAATAAACACTATATTGACGGGGGGCGTCGATTTGTTTTTCTACATCAATGTCATTAAGTGACAATGGTCTGTCGCGATCGTTACAGAAATTCTCGGTCCCAATTGCATTATTCAAGAAAGATCAAACGAGAGAGAGAGAGAGAGAATTAACTATCTGGAAAAAAATAAACGACGTTGTTGTTAACGCGTTTATCACATTGTGCAAAATACACAACCTCGACTACTTTTGTCAGTATCATTCGAAATTAAAGAGACGGTGGTTAAAGTAAAACTCAGTTTTTTCTAAGTTCCGCCCTGTTTTTTCTCTTACAATATAATTATTTTAAAGAATCATTCACTTTTTAGTGGAATTTTGAATTCACTTGATGAAAAGAATATGACAATTGTAAACCAAAAATTCAATAAACAAACTTATATTTTACTTATTTCTGCATGTCAGACTATTATGACATAGTACCTTAATTTAAAATTTTAAAATTTTATTTATTTTAATTTTTTGAATATAAAAATTTTTTAATTTATTTCAATTTTCTTAATTATAAAAAATTAAATTTCTATTATTTATATTTAAATGATGGTTTTACAGATTACTTACAATTTCTTTATTTACGGCATTCAACGACTTAGGCATTTCATGAAATGCATTTTATATTTGGACGTATTGTGTAATTTTATTTAGTTTCACAAAATGCATAATTGGCTGTAGCACTTCATGAAATGTCCAAAAATGTTGGACACATTGTGAAGTAAATATTTTTTTCATAATGTGGCTGCACTTCATGAAACGTCTAGGCATTTCATGGGGACGCATGAATATTCCCCACATTGAACTTGCAACAATTTTTGTGGTATCGAAATAAAAAACTTAATATTTCTACTTATCAGAACTGCATTAAATTGAGTTTTCTTTTAAACAAATTCTGATCACAAGAAATTAGTATTTGAAGAAATATTGTAGCCTGACAGAATTTAAATTTAACCATATTTTGGTGTACAACCATTAATATATAGTTGAAATTATATTTAAAATAATTTTCATTTAACCAAATTTTTATTTAACCATATTTGTAGGCAACCTAATTTTCGTATGAGTGAATATCCAAAACACCGAACTTATAAAAGATTGAATTTTTAAAACTTCGAATTTCTAATCTAATGACAAGAATTTTTTCGAGAGATGAAAAATGTGAATTGGTGCAACGTGAAAGTCTATAACTTGAACAGAAGACGCTGACAAAGAACATGCGAGCAGACCACCGGATGTAATGTCAACCCTTCCGTGACGTGAGCCCTGTTCCACAGTGTAATCGTGATTATTTATTTCTAATAAAGCATAGAAGCCCTTCGATAAAGTCCGACCCCCTCGGTTTCCGGTTCAAAAAAATATATTGACAAAAAATTGGAAAATAACACTCTACATTTCAACAAATTTTTCATTAAAAATTGCAATTGAATTCCTAAGAAGTTTTAAGACTTTCAGTTCACAAGCTTTCAATCTTTAAATTTCTAAGTTCTTTTAAGAGTTAGACCGTACATTCAGATTCTCATAATATTGTCAATCTCTAAATCATAAATCTTAAGTCCTTAAGTTTACCAAAAGACACCAAGTTGTTAAAGAAATGTTAAAATTATAATTAAATTTTATTATTACATTAAGAAAAAACATTTCCTTTAAAATGCGAATAAATTATGATTTAAAAAAGTTATTAGAATAGAATAATGCCTTATCCCATATACTTAATTCATAAAATCTAATGGAAATTGAAAATCTCGGAAAATAATTAAATTAATCTTTTCTCTAACTTATATTTAAAACTTGGTACCTTATTATGTTTGCATATATATATGTATATATATAGAGAAGATAATGTCACTGATTTATTAATTTAATTTATCAAGATTGCAGACACTCTCTCCAGGGCTATTTGAGTTGCAATTTACGACGATCAAAATAATTTCCGGTTTGATTCGTCAGTCTGAGGAAAGTGCTAATCTTTATCTCAACTTGAAATCAATGGTAAAGTTCATTAATATTTAAATATGTCATTCATAATTGTCCCGAGGACTTTGAAATAAATTAAGCAGCACTCAAGCAAAAATAGCGTACATTTATGATATCATTAAAAAATAATTTCTGTCTAATTTCAAAATTATTATTGATTAAATTTAAAATACGAAATTCTAAAAACCTGAAAAATCGATTTTGCACCAAAAAGCTACAAAAATTAAAATCATGATTAAATTGTAGATGTATATAGTTGATTCTTTACGGCCAAAGTAATTGGTGCCTTGAAAAAATCTATATACCAAAAAGTTAAGCCAGTAAAATTGAATAATTTACAAAAATGTAAATTATTTTGAGTAATTAATTCAGAAATAGATAAGAAAAACTGCCGGAAATAATGGAGGAATGAAGAATCCTTTCCTGTTTTTTCAGATAATCATGACATTTCCAGTAATAAACCACACACCAGCATAAACGAATATTTCCGCTTTTAATTGAAAAAATGATCTCAAACTATAACAAGTGAACTGTTCGTAATGATGTTTTTACCCCGCAGCCATTCCACTCCCAAGTCAAAGTTGACAATTCTCATGAAAGTGAAGTAAACGAAAGGGACATTAGTCGTTTGTTTACGAGTGTGATTCGCAATATGTACGAAGAAAGTTTACACAAGTGTGTATAAAAAAGTAGCGCGTAGGAATAGTTGTCAAAGCAAAGGAGAAGAAGAAGAGGGAAAATATTCTAGTCGCTTTGGTCAGTAGGTGGTAACTCTGAGTAGGTATGTGAGTAAAACCATTACAATAAAGGAGTTCGCATCAGCGTAAGTGTGTCGTCGACAAATTGTAAGCACGTGTATTACATATGAAATGCAAGAGAAGGGAAGGCGGGGGCGTCTAGTGGGGGGCCTTAATGAGGATGCTGCTGATTATCCAATTCGTAAATTCTCGCTACATTTTCATCGTGCATGCTCTAACCGCGAGTAACAAGACTTTCGACCCTCTCTCTCTCGATATCGGATTATAAAACCTTTACTAATCACAACAATACGCAACTGGGATTCATTCAGCCGTTTAAACCATATCGAATCGTCTCCCTCATTAATTTTACTTAGAATCAAATCAAAAACGTTTTTTCTCTTAAATACAACAGATTGCTTTAATGGGCATGCGGGTTAATTTTTAAAAATCTAATTACACTCCACTGATTCCCTCAACTGTTATTCTCTCCATCATTATTGATGAACGTTTAATTAAATCTAATACAATATATACAAGGTCTAATGGTAGGTACTGAACAATCTTTTATCATAATGTAAATTAATAAATAATTGCTTCAGTTATAAATGTTGCTGAAAATGTTTAATAAAGCGGTATGGTTTTTCCTTCCGATAAATAGTGCCAAACATTTATTTTCCTTTTAGAACTGATAAATATTTGCTTCCTCTAAGTACGGCTGATTTTCTGCCTTTACTATAAGGCATCTTATTGGAAACAATCTTTTTTTCTTTTCCTACACTAATACTTTTACATTGCTCAATGCTGCAGAACAATTAAAATCTTAAATATCAGAACTTTAAATGAGATTAATCTATTATTATTTAATTAGTAGTTTTGGAAATAATCGTTTTCTCTTCTTGTTTTAGAGAATTAATTAATTGTTTGATCGAATTGAGCCAAACTCAGGCAGAAATTAGCATTGGCAGAATTTCAAGAAAGATGTGAGAATTTCGAAAAGGTATTTGAAAAGGCTTACCTAGTGAGCTTTCCTGATCAGAGAGGTCGGAGAGCGAAGGCACCTTTCGTATTGAGGTAAACCGTGCAGGAAGTGTTGGCACGAGACCTTCTTCTTCGGCATCCGAGGTCAATTCCTGTTTCATGTATTTGGCCATCATTAGCATTACGCCACTTCCACCTCCACCGTTGCCGCATCCCAGAATGCTCGCCACACTTTTTGATTCACGCTGAAAAACAAAATAAAAATCCAGCTTTATGTTATGTTACAGTAAATAATACATCAGTACAAATAAAACCATTCTCAACTTAAATTCAGCTAAAGTACAGTTTCACTCAAGTTAGAGAGCACATTGATTTGCGACACCATTTTAAGTTTATGTTTGTGTTATTTTTACCATAATTAAATCAGTTTTTATCAACTATTTAAGATGTAATGAAGAAAGTGGTTTATATCACTTAAAACTTGGGCCTAATGTTACTTCTACTTCAACTTGACCTGAATAAATCTAAACTAACCTTAGAATGTAAGTTGCGAAATATATAGAAAAAAATACTTTGCGGAAATGAATTAATTATGATTTAAAATATGTCGCTAATGATGAATGCCAGGAATCAAGCAATAGTGTATTAACCCACACGTAATCATACTTGCTTTTACATAATCATACATGTGTTCGAGTTCTATTTGCGATACATAATGTTTATTAACAAAGAAAATACATAAAGGGGGACTTGTCCATGAGTTACGTAATATTGTTCGAGAGGAATGGCATCATTATCATCTTCAATAATGAACAGAAGGAAATATTTTTTTGAAAGAATCTTTTCCAAAAGTCTAAATAATAAAACAAAACTTATTTTATTATATCAGCAATAAATTAATTAAATTAACAAAAAATAGTAAATAAAATAAATTTCAACATCTTGCAGAGTAATCACATGATGCACAATGATCCAATAAAATTTTACTCTACACAAATTGACGTTGACAAATTTTCTTTTATTGTAGAGGATATTAAATTATCAAGATAATGGAGTAACAGATACATTGACTTGACAGATCTATTTAATTCATTAACATAAAATATTAATCATTAATTTTTTCTTTTTAGACCTCTTTTTCTTTCTTTACTTCCGTTTATTTCTTTTTTTGTAAATTACTTATTTCTTTTAATGAATTTACAAACGTTGGCATCTATTTTCTTATGCGCTATAAAAAGGATTCAATTTCAAACGAAAAGAAAAGAAAAATTCACCTGAAACTACAGAATTCCATTGCGTCTCGTCATTTAATTTTTCTCACGCACAGTAATATTCTTGTATTCTTGTCAGTTATTTTATTGTATTTGAAGAAAATGAAAAATCTTTTTCAAGTCCGTTATTTTGAAATTTTTAAAAATAAAATTTTCTGAAAATTTTAACAATTATTAAAAATAAGTTTTGTTGATAACTATTAATGGACTAATCTCTAGAGTTTAGTTTAGATTCAGATAAGTTGGAGGTTTGCTAAAAATTTTGTTTTTTTTACATGATAAACATACGCATAGGCAGTAAAAATTATATATAAAAATTGAATGAATATCTTTATTGTCTAATAGGCCAGAAAAATGAAGAGAGTAATAAATTGAATGAAAATTATACTACTATAAAGATATTATAGCAGGGTACTAAAGGGGAACTAAGAGCGCTTCGCTCAGCAGAATTATGAATGAACGGTGAACCTGCTATAGTAGGCTTACAAAGAGAGGGGAAGCGAAAAGGGAAGGGGGAAGAATAAACGAGAAGAGAAATAGCGTACGTATACTAATTTTAATGAAATGGTTCACAAGTTGTATCAAAGACAAACTTAAAATAAAAAGAAAACACAACATTAATTAATACACTTTTAAATTGAAAATTTCAGTAGCGAGACTTTTAAAATACATAATATATATTTGAAGAAGGAGACGGAGAGTGGAAAGAAATAAGATGGAAAGAACAAAGAGAGAAGAAAAACGAGTTTCATCACAAAAGCCATTGGTGAGGGAGAGGAGAGGAACATTGATGGAAGGGTAAAAAGCGGTTTTAAAGAGAGAGAGGAGAGAAAAATAGGGGAAAAGAGAAGAGGGTGACCGCTTGACCTTCGTTCAAGTCTGCAAATGAATGAAGCGCTTCTCGGCCCCAGTTGAATGACGCAATAAACGTTCACGAGACAACACGATACATGTCGAGACTACACGACATCGTTCATTTCTATTTCGATTCGATAAACTTTTTAGTTTCTCTATTTTAAACATTTTTATACAATTGCTTGTTTTCATATGTAAACGTATGTCAATAACAAGAATAGAATATGTAGCAAAGTATAAACACTCTGTTTTTGAAAAATTGACTCTGTTCTTCACAAAAAAATCACTGTTGCCGCTATTACAAAAATTCAGTAAAGCAAAGTTATAAGTTTTAACATTTAGATCAAATGGCACAGGTCAAGATGTAATGTTTTTGTTTTAAGATGAAATCTCAAATTTTAGGTCAGAAGACAAAGGTCAAGATTTAATCATGACGTTAAAAATTAGGTCTAGGCATTGGTTTCAAATTTAGATCCAAAATGCCAAATCAATAGGTAAACATAATTTTAAAATTTAGATGAAAAGAAAAGATAAAGAAACGCAAAACATAATCTCAGAAGTTAAACTTTCAGCTTTCAGAAGAAAATTTTGTAAAAAAATAAAAATTTTATATGAAAATGAGGGGGTCGATAGCCCTCACGAAATTAGAGATTTTAACGACGTGTTGGGTATTCAGTCATTCAGATGTTCACCTGACACTTTTAGGCGTGTTGTTTTACCCGAGTAACTGGAGATGTTGAATTTAACAATTTTTGTGCAATGAGAAACTTTTATCTCTTTTGACGCTAACACATGAAATTATATAATGCCACCTACACGACATAAAACGATATTTCAAGCAAATCATTGTAGTGTTTTATCGAAAAACAATTTTTTCGTGTTTATTAACTTTTTGTAAGCTTTCAGATTACTTTACCTTGAGTCTAAGCCTATTTATAAATTTTTATAAATACACGGAAAAAATAAATTACCTACAGCAGTTAACTAATTTTTGCTGTAAAATCTCTGAAAATTAGCTACCACACACTGGAAGAATTTTGGGGAGGCTGCTGACTTTTCATGTCCGAAATTAGTGCCCCTTGCTCAGGGCTCGCAGCTCACCTCAAAAAAGCGAGCATCTACTCCCGAAAGATGAGCAGCTGCCCCTGAGGAGTTGCTGCTTACCTTTCGGGAGTAGATTCTCACCTTTTTGAGGTTAACTGCGAGCATGAGGCAGCGAGCTCTAGCGGCACTCATGTAAAGCCTGGCAGCCTCCCCAAAATTCTTTCAGTGCAGCTAAGAAGTTTGCAGTGGCAGCGAACATGTTAGCTGTGACAACCAACATCAGTAAAAATTTATGTGAGTTTGATGTCATAGTGAACTTTTTTGCTGTCCCTATGAACGCTGGCTTTAGTTTCTAAGTACTCCACAGTGAACGGTGGCGCTACTAAATTCAGTGCCGTATATTTTAAAATTCTATGAACTCAATTATAATCCCAGAGGATAAATATCCAAGTACGGTCATGAGAATTAGATAGTAGGGATGAGTTCGTCAGCGTTCAGTTTGAAATCAAGTGGAGGGGTTATTTCTGGGGTACCGTGCAGTTCTGCGGCCCAACTGTAATAACTTACTAAAACCGAATTAAAGAAAAACGTTTTTTTCCTTGAAAATTGGTAAATTTTATGGATTGTAAACACTTTTCTATTTTATAATCAAAATAGAATAAATTTGGTTACACTTGAATGTACACAGGTTCCAGTATCGACAAATCTTTAAACTTATCAAAGTTCAATTGTAATAAAAGTTAATTTAAAAATCTGCGGTTATTCTAGGATTTTTTTATTTTTTTTACCATTCAAATTTCACTTTTAATCAACAAATGCCCTGTAGAAAAGTTGTTTGCTTTTTCCTAATCTAAAATAATATGCAATTAAAAACTTTGATTTTTGAAAAATTGAATTTTCAGAATTTGGAAAATACTGTTTTTTGAAAATACCAAATTTTTGACGAAAATGGCTGGCTAACGAACTCGATCTGTATTTTAACACTAACTTTGTGCATGCCAAGTTACAAGTTGATGCAATAAGTTTTTCAAAAGTTATCGTGGCGACACGATTGTGCAAATGTTAATTTTCGACCAAAACTAATACCTTCTTATGTGATGAGAATGTACAAATAATTAACTATTTATTATTATACTAAAACCTTAATTCAAATTCTAATTAATTTTAAAAAATGTCACTTATCAAGGTTATTAAAAAAATTATTCACGAAGAAATAACATTATATTACATAATGATAGTACAAAGTATAAAAGAAAATAAAAAATTGTACTTGAAAAATATCCCATGACACATTATACAAGTATATATCAGCAGAAATATAATGACAGAGTACAGCACACGATCTATCGCACTCACATACAAATAATGTTATCAAAATGATTTTAATACTCCCAGTAAAAGTGTGTTGAATGCATTTCTAAAATATCGCATTTCAGTAATACCATCAAGGCTGTAAATTCAAAGTGATAACGATTTTCTGCTATATATATATATATATATATTTATACCTATATTTAATAAAAAAGAAATACGTTTAAATTAAAGTGTACATTAGAAACAAACAAACAAACATTATATTACAAATCTGCAATATTAATATTCATTTCAAAAAATTATTGTATACTTAATACTATCCAAATTTTAAAGAGAATAAATAAGTTATTAATTTAGTGATTTACTAGAATGTGAACACTGTAAAAATTTAGGGAGTTAACGCCCAAGTAGAAATGTCCGGAGTTAGGACGGAGTTAAACACCGACATGGTACTGACTCAGTACTGACCGTCGGTACTGACTTTCGGAACCCGATCAGTACTGGGAGTATACTGACTCCAAAACCGAATCAGTACTATGTCGGAGTTAGAAAAGTTCTAAAATCAGTACTGGCAGAAAACTGGCTTAACACTAAATCAGTACTGCGAAGGAGTTAAAAAAACAATCAAAATTTGTTATAATGTAATTAAACATTAAACATCGTTTGATTTATTAACAATTAAAATATTTGCAAAGATTTGTAAAAACATTATTCATCAACAATAATATCAAACATTTTATTAATTTATTATTAACTAATAG